CATACGAAGTAGATGTTTTATATATATACGCAGTCATGAACCCTAGATTCCTAGAGGGATCGGGGCTATGCAGGCTGTGCAGGCTGAACAGCCTGCGCAGTAATTTGTCGATTTGCCCATCCCTAGTCACGGAACAATTCGGAAAATTTTTTTTTTCGAAAAAAAATTTTTGAAAATTTTACTATATAAACCACAAATCCCTCCCTCCCCCCTCCTCCGGAGGGGAGAGGGGGGTAATGTAAAACACAGAATCCAGTTGGTCTCGCCTTATCAATCAAAATTAAAATTTCAGCACAAATTTGCAAAAGAAATAGTTAAAGTGTAAGGTTTATTTAAATATCAAGATTTCATAATTTAGTAAACAGAATTTAATGATTTTGGTATCAATCGATTCGTCTCGATGAGCGGTTCGAATGATATCAAAGTCGTTAAATTCAGATCACTAAAACGTGAGATATTCGCAAAAAACTATTTGCGGCGCAAAAAAACTTAAATTTCTATAAAGCTGCGTTGCAAATTGCTTTTCGGAAATACCTTACGATCTAGTGATCAGATATGGGTCAAACCTTTTTAAAAACATGAAATTTGTTTATGGGCCATGCAAATCTGTTTATGGGCCATGCAAATCTATAAAAATTCAATTTTTTAACCCATGCAAGACTCCTATTGTAGCCAGAGATTTTAATTGTCCGAAGCAAAGCGGAGGACACACTGTTTTTACGACAGCAGGTTATTATTTAGATCACGTTAGAATTCTGTCCGTCCGGTTCCGTGATGCTGATTGGTCATAATGATCTTCATATATATGCAAAAAATTTTTAGCTCAAAAAAAAGTTAATGTTCCGGACTTACACTGGTTTCCAGTTCCTAGTACGTACCAAATTAATTGGCGGTATCAATGATGAAATAACCCGAATTATGTCTAGGAAGAGAATGATCTTCGGATGAAGGATTAGGACTACCATTAAATTTGTTGTCCAACTCAGTTACATGATTTTTGGGCTCACAGAACCTTACTACAATTTGTTTGGTTCCAAGTATTTTACCATGCATAGATAACTTAGCTATACCCGCATCTTCAGCAGAAGTATAACTGACGTATCCAAATCCTTTTGAATTATTAGTTTGTGGATCCCTCATGACACGAGCACAAGTAATATTACCAAATTGTCGAAAATGGTTGAAAAGGTCGCTGCTATAAATATTTGTATCGAGATTCTTGATAAGTAAATTGTATAGACCCATAATAGGGCCTTCAGGACTTGTATACGCAAATGACTGCTGACTGCCATAATTTCCCGGAGGAAAGAAACTTCCTTGTCCAAGTCTGTTGGCAGAAGTAGAATTGCCATTAAATTGGTTTGCCAATGCAGCTTCACGCAATTTTTTAGGTTCATAGAACCTTACAATAATTTGTTTTGTTCCGAGCATTTTGTTATGCATAGATGACTTGGCTCTATCAGCCTCTTCAGCAGAAGTATAACTGACGAATCCAAATCCTTTTGAATTATAAGTAACTTGATCTCTCATGACTCTAGCACTAATAATGCGACCAAATCGACGAAAATGATTGAAAAGATCACTGCTGGAAATATTCACATCAAGATTTTTAACAAATAAGTCACTCGAACGTATAATAGGGCTCGGTAATGTAAGCGGTTGTTGGCTACTATAATTTCTTGGAAGAGAAAGATCTTGCCTAAATTCATTAGTAGAATATACAGATATAGAAGTGGGATTACAGTTATATTGATTTGCTAATGCAGCTTCACGCAATTTTTTAGGCTCATAGAATCTTACAATAATTTGTTTTGTTCCGAGCATTTTGTTATGCATAGATGACTTGGCTCTATCCGCCTCTTCGGCAGAAGTATAACTGACAAATCCAAATCCTTTTGAATTATTAGTATCTTGATCTCTCATGACTCGAGCACTAATAATGCGACCAAATTGACGAAAGTGATTGAAAAAGTGACTGCTGGAAATATTAACATCAAGATTCTTGACAAATAGGTCACTCGAACGTACAATAGGACTCGATGATGTAAACGATTGTTGGATACTATAATTTCTCGGAAGAGAAAGACCTTTCTGCATAAATTCATCAGTAGAAGGTACTCGATTTTCTGATATAAAAGTGGATTTAATTTCACGCAAGTTTTTAGGCTCATGGTATCTTACAATAATTTGTTTGGAACCAAGTATCTTGCCATCCATAAATGACTTTGCTCTATCTGCCTCTTCAGCAGACGTATAACTGACAAACGCAAATCCTTTTGAATTATTAGTGTTTGGATCTCTCATAACGCGAGCGTTAATTATATGACCAAATCGACGAAAATAATTAACAATGTCACTATTAGAAATGTTATCATCAAGATTCTTGATAAACAAATCGCATTGACTCGGAATAGGGCTTTCAGAACTCGAAGATGTAAGTGACTGTTGGCTATTATTATTTCCTGAAGTAGGAAACTGCTGTCCCTAACGAAATTGAATAAGTTTAAATCGCAATAATTGCAATTATTATTAATTCATGATCTACCAGGGAACTAGTGACAAATTTACTGAGTATTTGTTGTCATTTTGGAATCTGGGAATTTCCAAGAATAACTCATTTTTTACTAAGTAAACTTTCCATCCGCTCTAATCAAAATTGTAGATGAGAGAATTTAGAGCATAATGGTGATTAAATCACTAAAATTGCCCAGTGAATCGTGAGATATGAATATTTTAATCATAGTCGCGAAGATTAAAATATTCATTTCTTACGATCAACTACCAATTTTAGCGTTTCAACCACCATTATGCTCAACATTCTCTCCTATACAATTATTTCTAGAAGCAAAAGAAAGGCTTAGCAGAAAATAAAAAAAAAGAGTTATCCTTCGGGAATGCCCAAATGCCAAAAATGGCAAAATTTAATAGAAAGTCATGACTTTTCACTGGTTTTCTAGTGGATCACTGCATAAATTTACGCTTGATAAATACATACAACTCCAGATAAATTTGAATTTGTAATGCTCGTGTGGACGCTTTCAGGCTTGTTAGGGCGGATAAGATCCCAAATATTTATTACAGTACTAGTAAGAATAATAAGAAAGATGAAAGCTCATGAATATAATACTCCGCGTAACAATTTTTTAATGTTCTATGTGTATAATATAATGTGACCCTCATCTAATACCTAGTATAAACAAATTGCAAACTTACATGGAATTTCCCCCCACAATAGAACCATGCTGTTCAAATACAAATTGATTAAATATTAGTGCAGTAAAATTATTATGTACGTGCATATATATATGCATAAAACAAAAAAAGATTACAGATTTTTAATTAAAACAGACAAATGAACCCCATGACTTATTACCATAGACTTTAAGGCTAAATCAGTATCTTTTTTTCTGAAAAATTGTACCATTGCATTTCCCTTAAATACATTATTCTGACGACGTAACCTGACAATAGACAAGGGTCCAAACGATCGAAAGAGATCGAAAAGAATATTGCTTGTAAAGTTGAACGGCAAATTTTTAACACAAAGAATAGGCGCTTCGGGGCATGGCTCGTTATTAGAAAAAGCAGGATCGGTAAGATGTAATTTTAAATACGATTTATATGTCTCTAATTTCCTATTGTTGTAAAAAGCGAATGCCTTTTCCGCTAAGTAAAATAGAAAATAATGGATTAAAGATCAATAATGTTTGAAATTTTTACAAATCAAAATATTCCAACTAATATTTATATACCGTCTTCTATTAGCAAAAAGGAAATGGTGGCGTATACAGGTGTATTACTTCCATGCTGACGATGAATTTCAGATCTATTTTGACAGGACATGTTGAGCTTACAACAAATTTTTTAGAAATTAAAATATCATCCCGATCCCGACCTCACAAAATTAACATCCTGAAATATTTTTTTCAATCCGTCTTCAGAGATACTGTGGGGTAACTCGCTTATGTAGAGCTTCGGTTGACATAAAAACGAATACGATGAAGTTTGAATAGGTTGCATTCCAATGTGCATTATCAAGCTATTTAGCATAAACAATAAAATTTCATTCCTTGAAGGTTTCGACCAAATTTATAAAACTTATGCAATGTAAATGTGATACTGTAGTTACCGTGTTACACAACGATTCATATTCACATGCAATACATTAACTATAACGATAACTTGTTATCCTCAAAGTTTTTTGTTTAGTTATTGTATAAATAACTTAATTTTCGATCTATTAATTTTGTTAATATAGTTTGCAGTAGGGTCTTGCATAACCGGCCGGCACGTTCCTCGCACTTTGTGCTGTAAATGTTCTCAGTTCGTGCCATAAGGTTTTTTGTGGCCACAGGCACGAAATACCTGATATAAAAATGATCTAAACTTACGTAAAGATAAGCTTTTTTTACATCTTAGTTGGCATGGCACAAAAGTGCCGACCTAAAATTGCATAGTGCCTTTGTGCTCATAGGTACTGGCACGGCACAAGGCACTGGCGCCCGGCACGAGCATTTGCAGACCCATAATTTGCAGTAGTTCTTGTAAACTGTTTTAAGATTACCTATGTTGCAAGTGAAGAGCTTGTCAACGAAGTGACAAGGCGACCAGTATTGTGAGAACAGATGGCTTTATGGACCATATATTAAATTTGTCGTTTTAACGTTTTATTGTTTATGTATAGTTTTCATGGTGCCTAGTTAGATGCAGGTAGTATTTTTCTGATTAATATTACGATATACTGTAACTAATGAAAATGAATTACAATAATTGCTAGAGGATGCAAGGGGTAATTACTGAATTATATTGTTCTGTGCATGTAGTCAGCAATGTGAGATTGTTTATTCCAACGCAAAGGTATTTGACTAATAGAATATATTATCTTCTTTTCGCTAACGCTCGCTTTGTATATATGTAACAATAATTTATCCAGGTAATCTAATATACCGGAAAATATTTAGTAATTTAATAATGACAAAATATTTTCATCAAGTCTAAAATAGTTTTTACATCATGAATAATTCAATCTCTACCCATTAATTCAACGCTTACGAACCGAATTTTTTATGTATTAACAAATGCCATAAATGATGTTAAAAATTTTTCTAGGTTAGAGAATTAATACCGTATTACTCCGAAAATAACACTCCCCCGAAAATAAGCACCCCTGGCCCACACTATGCCAACTTTGGCCTGCTTTACGACAATCACGGCCAACATTAAGTGCAAAAAAAGGGTGCTTATTTTCGGAGGAATACGGTAAATCAGTATGAGTAAATTTTTTTTTTTTTTTTTTTTAAAAAAAAAAAAAAAAAACCTGCTTGATCGCAGGACGCCAGTTGGCGTACAAATCTTTTATTAACTCATTTTGTATTAAAGAGGGTCTTCTGAACTTGTAAGATCCCACACATTGAAGAATTACATGAGTTAACTATCTATATATCGATATATTAACTATATTTAGCTAATCCTAATCACGAGCAACTGGATTACCGAATGACCCAACTACAACCGGAACTGTACTTATTTCCTTGTCTAGTTTCTCCAACCGGATTTTAACCGGATGACCCAATTACAACCGGGGGATTTTGCCGGAACTGTCCTTTTTCCTGGAGTTTTCTTGATTTTTCGACCGGAGTTTCACCGGAGGTGTCCTTATTTCGTATTTTATGGCGGCCCTATGAGAATCTGTGGCTGAACTTCAATCGTGAACCTGGCACGGTTTTTTCCTCCAGTATAACTCGAACCGGCGACCTTGCTATTGGAGACCCGGGAGCGCAACCACTACGCTATCGACCCACGGGTCGTATGAGTAAATTTTAATACGGTTTATATTTTCAAATAAAGATCCAAATCTCAGCATTATCTGTAACACAGGAAAATCAAACTTAAAGCTTTCAAGTTTATTACTTATTACAGTTCTGGCAATGTATATAATACATCACGGCGTATTTATGAAATTAAGCTAAAATTCGGGCATTAAATCTGAGTATTTGTCCCAATTGAAATTTTAGTTACCAAATGACATATATATAAATCAATGTTAAATCCTGAAAAAGTTTTTTGGACCTCTGATCTGGATTGATAACGCGTCTAGCCCATCTTTCCCACATGCTAACTATTCCCCACTTTTGACATATCTTATTAGCATATAAATTTATTATAATGACGCGCCTTCACCCGTGATAGTAGTTATCTCGGTCAAAAAAATCATTATTATTTACTTAATGGTCAAGATTTTCAAACTTTGGGGTATTTCATAAATTCGCCGTAGTGAGGTAATTAATTTTTTTTACGTGTCACATGCCTCTAACTATTGAAGTTTGACATTACTCAAATAAAAAATCTCAATTTTCTACTTTAAAGAAGTAATGTAATTGGGCTATCTAAGAGACTGTAGTCATGTTACTATTACACTATTCAGACTGTTCAAGGATAGAAGTAATCTTTACACTATGTAAACATACTGTTATACAGGTATGTATGCTCCAATAAAGATTCGATATACAAAATTAGGATAACTGCGCGACGTAGTCGCGCTAAAACCAGGAACGTAATACATACAATTAGATTTAACACTACAATTTGTATACTGCTTTTTAAAAATATATAAAAGAATAAGCTCCAGTATTACATAAGCCATTTAAGTTGGTAAATATCAGTATAATGATAAATATTTATACCTTAATACATCGATTAAAAGAAACAGGTATCTTGTGGCAGTGAAAATTTAAAAGCTCATGTACTTTATTTTTTAGCCGCAATTATAAAAAGGTACAAGTTT